TGTATCTTGGTGAAGCAATTTTATTCATTGCTTTTTGCTTACTATGTTGAAATGTAAGTTTGGGCAATTTAAAAAAATTCTTTTATTGGAATTAATATGTGAACTTATTACTGCTTTCTGATGGCAAAAAGGAGTTTGAAAGAAATTAGTAACATTGGGGTCATCTGTTATTTTTACGTATTTATTATTCATTCCTCTAGCATCTTGGCTTTGCCTATTCATTCTAGTAGCATCTTGGCTTTGCCTTGAGGAATCACTTCTGCCTGTTTCCCAGATCTGAACAAATCAGTCTAAGCAAAGTTAGCCTGGGATGTTTTCTGGAATTATCAAAAGAGAAGCCTGTTCCTTCTGCTGGAGTTGTTAATTTGGCAGGGTTGGTAGGGAGAGTAATAGCCCTCTGAAGATGTCTGTCTCATCCAGTGGGGCTGTTATACCCCAAATACCGTAGACTGTGTGGCTTAACAACCAACATTTATTTCTCACAATTAAGGCTGGGAAATCCAAGATCAAGATACCAGCAGATTTAGTGTCTGGTGAGGGCCATTTCCTGGTTCGCAGATGGTGCCCTCTTGCTGTGCTCTCACATGGTGGAAAGGGTAAGGCAGCTCTCTGGGGCTTCTTTTATAAGAGCACTAATCTCACTCATGAGAACTCCACCCTCATGACCCAATCAGCTCTCAGAGGCCCTACCTCTTAATACCATTACCTTGGGGATTAGGACTTCAACATACACATTTTGAGGGGATGCAATCATTCAATCTATAGCAGCATCCCCCACCTATCCCTAGAATCTGTGAATGTTACCTTACGTGGCACATGTTCTTGAAGATGAGATTCAGAAAATGGGATTCACCAAGAATCTTGAGATGGGAAGATTATTCTGGCATATCTGGGAGGTCTCAGTGTAATCTCAAGGGTCAAAGCTCAGGAGGGCCATGAGGGTGAGAGGAGATGTGTCAGTGGTAGCAGAGGTCAATGTGCTGTGATTTCTAGTTTTGAAGATGGAAGAGGGCCATGAGCCAAGAGACGCAGCAGCCTCAAGAAGCCAGGGAAGCTCAGGGTATCACTCAGTCTCCCCAGAGCCGATAGAGGGAATGCAGCCCTGCCAACACCTTTGTTTTAGTGCAGCAAGACTTATGAGCTCACAAACTGTAGAATAATAATATTGTTTAAGCCACCATGTTTGTGGTAATTTGTTACAGCAGCAGGAGGAAACTATCACAGTAGGACACAAGTCTGAGGCTCCTGGCAGCTGTCTTTGCCATGACGTGGGCCTGAGCTTGCTTCAGAGTAGAGACATGCCGTGGTGACATTACTTGAGCATTTGGTCTAGTCCTTCCTGAAGTAGTTAACCCAGATTTTTCAGTTTTATTAGCCAACAGATTTTTGTTTTGTTTTGCTTCAGTTACTTTGATCTGGACTCTCTCTTACTTGCATACTATTTATGTACAAGTATCTTTTAAAAATCACAGTTTTACTTATAATGGCTCCAGTTTGGAAACAATGTACTTACTGTGCTTATTGATTTACTCAATAACTCAAGTTATGCTGGGCACAGTGGCTCATGCGGGTAAACCCAGCATTTTGGGAGGCCGAGATGGGCAGATCACTTGAGGTCAGGAGTTTGAGGCCAGCCTGACCAGGATGAGGAAACCCCCACTAAAAATACAAAAATAAGCTGTGCATGGTGGCACACACCTGTAAGCCCTGCTACTCAGGAGGCTGAGGCAGGAGAATCGCTTGAACCTGGGAGGCAACAGTGAGCCAAGATTGTACCACTGCACTCCAGCCTAGGTGACAGAATGGGACTCTTTCTGAAAACAAACAAACAAAACTCAAGTTTTAATTGAATAAAATGAAGTATATTTCAAAAGTATAATAGAGCCATGGTAAACTTATGCTATAGAAAAACTGCTTGTTTATGTGGGAAAGTGTTCACCATGTATTAGTTTTTCGCTAAAGAAAAAAAAATTGGAAAAGAGCATTCATAGCAACACCCAGCCACATACAAAAACGTTTTAGAAGTTACAAAGGAAGGATCTTCCTATAACTTGGAAATTTAGATAACTTGGAATGGTTAGAAATTTCTTCTGAACTCCTGTATTCTTCATAGAGTTACACAAAATGACATTTGAAACATTTATTAATGCCGCCTGCCAAAGACTGCATTTTAAACTTAAGTGCTATTGAAAAATGCATGGAAGAAGTTTAAAGTATGTATAGTCCCAAGTCAAATAATTACAAACGAATGTTAAAAAGGCACAAATTTCGTATGTGAACAATAATGGTAATAGTGTTATTTTTACATTTAACTTCTGTTAATAAAGACAAGTGAAACAAATCTCATCTTGCAACTACCACTCTAGAAAAAGTGAGAACTGACTACAGGTGCATGTATGGTACAGTGCTGTTTTTATAAATTTCTTTCTTATGTTCGATCTATGCGTCTATTAAATTAATGAGACTGAGAAGCTATAGCAGCTTGCCACCCTTTGGGAAGGCAAAAAGTCCAGTGGTTAAGGGGTCATACATTGTGTGATTCTAGGGATTTTAGCCTCTTTGAACTTATATTTCTTCATATAAAATTAGGATATCAACAGTAGCTACAACATGGCTTTGTTGGGACTACTAAATAAAATAAAGTATGTCATGCACCTCTCAGAATATGGGGGCACATATATATATATATGCTCAATAACTGTTAGCTACTACTAATATTTTTATATTCAACATGATACTGTTGTTATTATTAATTTTTTATATACCACACAGTCCTATGAGCTAACTCAGAATTCTGACAACGCAGCTATGGAGGAGATAGCAAGATAGAAAATGTACCCATTTTTACTTTATAATGCTTAATGAGGAAAATGCCCATCAATTAATTACCTTCATTCAAAAAACTTTAAAAATCATTTCTGTGAATTAAAGATTGTTGTTCACACAGTTGCTATTGAAATGAATAAAATGGTGTCCTTGGTAACTAGCGGTTTGCATTTTAGTGGGGAAACAGTGAAAAATACATATAAACACTATAGAGCGTTAGATTTGCCATATTAGAAATATGCTTAGGGTTTCAGTTAGGTGATAAGGGAGAAAGTGATCAGTTCTACTAGTGCAAGAGGGTCAGAACAAGGATTCAGAGAAGAGGGAGGCTTGCGAATCTTTCAAATAATAGGCAAGTGGTTAATTGGGGATGGTCATTCCATGCTGAGGGGACAGTGCTGGCAAAGGCATAGATGCAGCAAACAATTTCATTTGCTGAGAGGATGGGCATGTACAGTGTGGTGGGGACAGGAATATGGCAACAAATGAGGCTGAGTTGCTAAGCAGGAGACAGACTAATTAATCCATCAGTAGATGACCCTGACCATTTAGCCTGTCAGGCATGGTAGGTGCTGGAGATATAGTGGTAGCCTCTGGTTTGATGGACTTATATTCTAAATAATCACAGGGCCTTTCTGTGAGGAATGAGGCTTAATATTGAGGCAGAGGTGTGTGTATATGATTGATTTTTATCATAGGATGCTCACTTGGGAGGCTGTGTGAAGCAATGTTTGAAGAGTATATTTGTCTGTTTTCATGCTGCTGATAAAGACATGCCCAAATCTAGGAAGAAAAAGAGGTTTAATTGGACTTACAGTTACACATGGCTGGGGAGGCCTCAGAATCATGGCGGGAGGTAAAAGGCATTTCTTACATGGCAGTGCAAGAGAAAAATGAGGAAGAAGCCAAAAGCGGAAACCCCTGATAAACCCATCAGATCTTGTGAGACTTAACTTACTACCACAAGAATAGCATGGGAAAGACCAGCCCCCATGATTCAATTACCTCCCCCTTGGTCCCTCCCACAACACATGGAAATTCTGGGAGATACAATTCAAGTTGAGATTTGGGTGGGGACACAGCTAAACCATATCAACGGGGACACAAGTGAAGGCAGACAGAGTAGATGAATGATTAGTTATTAGTTCAAGTGAGAGGAGCTGCATGAAGGCACTAGAAGCAAGGATGGAAAGGAGAAGTGAGCTTAGATATGAAACTTGATAACTAACCTGAATCTAATCTGGGTAACTCATGAGCCTCAAGGGTAAAAGAGAGGGCAAAACCTGAATAGCCTGAAGGAGTCTTCATTGTGCGAGAGGAAGGTTTTCATTTTGATTGGTGCCTACCCCACTTTTTCACACAAGCAGAAGCCTGGGTACTGAGCCGGGCTAGGGTGTGTAGTCATAGGAGCTGCTGTGTTTGGGAAATGACTCAGCAATCTCAATTATGATTTGGCAGTTTGGTCTTGGCCTCCCCTTAACCTTTCCCACATCCGGTCACTCTCACCACTTATTCTAAACAAATCCCCAACCTAAGCTCGGGAGCCTGCTTACTGGACTTAATTATTTCAGCTATTTGTCATTCCAGACTCCCTCATGCCACCCACAGTGAGCAGATGGAATAAAATGCTCCACAAGGGGCTTAATAGTGAAGGAGATGTTTTGGGGGAATTGTGGGCATAAAAAGAAATGTTGGCATTTATTTTAACTTTTCCCTTAGCATAGGGCAGAATCCTCTTATGGTCCAGGCATCTCCCAATTCTCAGAAGATGTAGAAGAGTGACTTGGACCTTGGCAGCTTTTTGGCCTCACTGTTAGACCTGATTTATCTAAATTGTCAACACCTGCTAGGTTGCCTTACCAGAAGCAAATATAGCATTACCAGAAGTTAACTTCCTTTTTTTTTTTTTTTTTTTAAGGCATTTGCTGATGAGTACTAGCAACACATGAAACCCTATTTGACAGTTGTTTGCTCTCTTTCCTTACTTTCTTATGTCAAGACAAAGGTTGCTTTAAGGAACTTTAAGAAATACAGGATGAAGCCAGGTTAAGGTCAGAAGGAATGAGGGATAGATGAAAAACAGTGAGACTGACATGATGTAGTGTGTGTGTGGGTTTTTTTGTTTTTGTTTTGCACCATTTTATAATAAGAAAGTAATAAGGTATAGATAAAAATCAGATAGCCCAGGCTGGAAAGCAAGGGTGAAGAAATTCTCCAAACTGGAAACCCAGCACTAGCAAAATTTTATTGTGTGCCTGAATTTTGGGCAAGGCTAAAGAGGAAAAATAGAGAAAAAAATAAAGATTTATGGAGATGGTAAGAAATTCAGTTTTGGATATATTGACTTTAATATGATTATGGGATGTATAGATAGTAATCACAATAATAAAGGGAAAAGACATGATTCTAAAAGAATGTAGCTTTAGGTCAAGCTTTAAGATTCTCTGGATAGTAGTGATGCTTAGAATATCTGATCTGACCTATGTAACATCACAGGCTTGTGCAGGTTTAATGAATTAACATGAGAAGGTAATTTGAAAATCTATAAAGCATGTGTGCATTCATTATTTCATTGCTATTTTGAAAATTACAGCTTATACACGTTCCTTCTATGTTTCCTATAGTCAGATACATTTTCTTTCCTCCAGAGAAGACAATGATTTCCTCTGTGTGTTCCTATAACCCTGAACACTTCCCCTGACCTTTGTACAGATGCTGAAGTCTGAGGTTTCTGTAAGCCTCTCCCTATTGCTTGTCTCACTGTGTGCTCCTATAAGCACAGAAATACATGGCGGTGTCCCCCAGCTGTACATCTGAGATCTTGAGACTGAAGGATTTGGCTGCTTTCTGGAAGTTCACAGAGAAACGATTCTCCGTTGCATTCTGTTGCTTATAAGCTTCTTGGCGAATAATGAGAATCATCTGCCTGCTAGGAGGCTGCTTGTACCAGAATAAATAATAATCACTGTCACTGGAGTCATATGTGCAATTCAGGGTCACAGTCTCTGCTTCCTGCACAGACATCTCTGATTCAGACTGAGTGACTCTCTGGGCTATGCTGAATTCTGTGGGAAAGAGGAGAGAAAGGACTTCACTGGCATATCATGTCAGAGAGAGAGAGAAACAGACTCACAAGCCTGTTGGAATTGCCACCCACCTTTCTTCCACTTGATCCAAACCTCTGACAAAATCCATCAGCCTTCTTGCCCCTAATAGCTGGGCCCAATGAGAAGATTAGATTCCTGCACTATTAATCTTTCTTCCTACTTCTCTGTTCTATTGGTTACTAGTTAAGGTAAATACATGTGCCTTCCTTACCGAGATAGGTGGAGATCACAAGTGTCCACAGGAAGCCAGGGCATGCCATGCTCGCAGGTCCCTGCTGTAGGGTGAGAAACCTCCTCTTCTGATCTGAATCTTAAATATCAGCTGTACTGCTGCTGTAGCTGCTTCAGAACAGGAAATGGGATGTCAGGTGGGCTGTTTATAATGTCTCTCTTAGGGAAAGCTCCTCAATACTCTGTCTTTTGCTTCAGAGAATAAAACTTTGACTATAATGTTTAATGAAAAAAGATGTTATCGGAACTGTAATTTATTTGGAAATAAAAATAAAGAGAAAAGCTGACAAATTGTTTTTTAAAAACATAATTTGGACAGGAGAATGAGATGAGTGGAGAAAAGACAGGCCAAGCTAATGTTGTGACTTCAGTTTTATCTATAAGCTTTTGTTGTCTTTCCTCTTTCTCTTTCTTTCTTTCTTTCCCGTCTTTCATTTCTCCTTCCCTTCCCCTCCACTCCCCTTTTTTCTTTTTTTCCTTCTTTCCTTTTTCTCTCTCCCTCCTCTGTCTTGAACTCAATATCAGAAAATTATCTCTGGGTTATAACACAGGTATTGGTTATATTATACTTTGACCAAATTGTATTTTAACACTTTGAGAAATGATTAAAAATAATGACAATAACAACAATAATGTTCAGATAGTCTAGAGAAAATTGAAACCAGAATTTTCATAACTAATTATACTATAATTTGCTCAAGACTTTCTTCTGTGAAAAAAGAATACCTGATTTTGGCTGTGTCAAGGACTTCTGCAATACTGGTGGCAAGGGCTTTTGTGTGCTTCTATTAATGACTTTGTGAAGGAAGAATCAGAACAATTAACATAAAGTTCATTTGGGAACATTCTGTGTAGCACATCTGACAGCTTTTCAGTGGCATCTGATTTTTTCCTCATGCACACATTCTTCTTAGAGGGAGGAAAGGTCAGGAATTAGTCTTCATTTTATGGAAGAGGCAACAGAGCAAAAATGAAAACTCATAATACAGAGAACTAGTCTCATTTGCATTAATTTTCTCTCCCTATTGAATTTTTGTCATCCAATCTAAGATAAGACCTTGTCTATAGTTAAGGTTTATGTAAGCTTTTATCCCCTGTAAAACAAGAAGAAAAATAAAAGACTAGATTAAAAGCTGACTTGCCATATAGGGAGTGATGGTCGTAACTCCCCCTCCCATTTATTATTTCTGCTTGGAAATGGTGTTAACAGCAGACATTTTACCACAGATGATCTTAACTCCAGAGGACTTTTTAAAGTACAGGTTGTTGAGTTTCTTCCGTAGGTGGTCTAGTTCTCTTGTTTGCTTGGTGTTAAATTTCTGCACTACCTACTATTTTCTGGACAGATTCACAGGAAATTGGTAAATGTGCTATTACTTTACAATTTACCCCCTTCTCCTCTCTGGTCCTTTTTATATTTCTTTGGAGACAGAGTCTCACTCTGTCACCCAGGCTGGAGTGCAGTGGTGCAATTATGCAGCCTCAACCTCCTGGGTTCAAGGGATGCTCCCACCTCAGCCTTCTAAGTAGCTGGGACTACAGCCGTGTGCCACCACTCTCTAGTCTGTATAGCAAACTCTAGATGATTGGGCTGTCTTCTTTCCCAGTCTCAGGTCAGCTGCAGCTGTGAGTTCACTAATCAGGCTCTCAAGAGTAGGTGTTTTCTGCCTTTTGCCTGGGCTCACTGGGCCTGCAATTGAAATGCTGATTGGGGATTGCAATGCTGCAATGCTGAATGGATCTTGCCATTTTAGATAAGACTGGGTGCATTCAGGGTGATAGGGACATAGACAGGTCTTGCCATTTTAGATATTTTCTATGATCCTATGGGTCCTATGCAATCAGAACCTTAGTATCTTGTATTTAGCATCCAATCAGTTCCCAATTCTCACAGATAATCAAGTTATTGAAGGTTGAAGACCAAATAAAATGATGTATATAAAAGAACTTGTAAGTGGGCAAATATGGGTGGGGTGGGCAGACGGGTGCCTTTTTGTGGAAGCAGAATCCCTTCTGGGCAGTCTGAGAAATTCTACTGTGCTCCCTTGAGATATCAACCCTATCTGGCAACTCTATCATGGGATTTCTTACTGGAGTGAGTTAGTTAGACTATAAAAAGTAAAAACTAGGAGAAAAATATGTGAGTATCACATGTCTACTCTCACGTTCTCATGGGAGAATTTTTGCAGATGCCAAAACTGAGGCACATCAGCAATTAATGGCACAAGTGGAGAAGCCGCTCCAATCATTGAGACAGCCCCTCTTAGTTGGGTGGATTTGATGAAAGAACACTCAGGGTTCTCAGTCCTAATCGCCTCAGACAGCTCATGTTTAGGGTTCTCACGACTCTGAATTCCTTATCTGAAAATACAGTGAACAAAAAAACTTTTTAAAAGTCTTTCAAACAAGATTTTCTTTGATTTGTCATATTCATTACAATATTCTTTTGGTCAGAGGAGGTAATGAAGATGCTTTACTAACCCCTGAGTGGAGGTTCCAATGCAGGGTGGTGGGGTGGTGCATTTAGGTGTTTTCAGGGACATGTAGGTTCTCTGCAGCACAGAGGTAGATGGCTGAGTTCCTCGACTGGGTGGTCTTGTTGTTCAGGGAGAGGTAGGGCTGGTACCAGCACTGAAGGTGGCTGCTTATCTTCCCCTGCACTACAAAACTCTAGTTACAGAAAGAACAGAAACAAAGGCATCAGATTTATTCTAGATCTTTTTCATTCTGTATCTGTGGATCTGAAACACTGTGCAAATAATTACAGTAGATGATAAAACATCTTTACTTCGTGGATGGCGTGTTAGTTAATTTTAGGCATCAACTTGATGGAATTAAGAAATACCTAGAGAGCTGGTAAAGCATTGTTTGTGAGGGTATTTCCAGAGGATATTGGCTTGTAAGTCTTAGCGGAATGCATGGGAAAGAGCAATCTTTGGTGTGGGCATCCAATCTGCTAGGGCCCTGGATGGAACAGAAACCTAGGAAAAGCAACTTGGTCTCTCTCTTGCCTAGAACTGGGATACACTCTTTTTCTCTTGCCCTTAGACACAAGAACTCTGGGACCTCTGGCCTATGGACTCCAGAATTTATGCCAATGGACCCTGAGTTCTCAGGCTTTTGGATTTGAACTTGCCACCCTACTACTAGCATCCCAGGGCCTCCAGCTTGCAGACAGTCTGTCATGGGACTTCTCAGCCTCCATAATTACACAGGCCAATTCTTCTAATAAATCCCCTCTCATATATCTCTATATTCATCCTATTGGTTCTGTCTCTCTGGAGAACAGAGATTGGTTCTGTCTCTCTGGACAGATGGTCAAGAAGAGCTTTCCTCTTTCTTCATTTGATAGCAAATTTTCTTAAAAAGATGAATTAAGGGTAAATTAAATAAAGGGTGAATTAAATATTTTATTTGTTCTTTGAATCCCTTCTGTAAAATATAGAGACTAGTTCTCAGAACCTTCTGAGTCCTCTGTGTTCCGGAGATCACATAAATTCACTCAGCTTTCATCCAGGCTGAAGCCACCATAGTTCCTAAAAGCTCCTCCATGGTTTGACTTTTCTAAGTGGGTAGAAAATTTGATTCCAGAATGTGGAAATCTGACATAGACTCTACAGATACCTAGGATTTGTTCCAGTTATTTTGTATGTATTAGGAATAGCAGATTCTTCAAGATGAGATCGTTTTTTGCAAATAACTGCTATCAACGGGAACAAATAGTGCTCTCTTCAGGTCAAAGAGATTATTACAGAGGCAGTTTCTAGGACTTCTCTGTATGGAAAGAACTTGGTTTAGGAAGAAATATATTCTAGATGTAATCTTTTTATAAGTTTCAGATTTATGTTTCCACTAAATCAAAAGACTTGGATGTTTAAAATGTACCTGTCCTTTCCTTTATCACTGCTTTCTTAAATTCTACCTTGTATCACATCTTACCTCCTCAGAGAAACCTGTTTCTTTTCCTTGATATTCTTTCAGAAATATAGCATGATTATAATTTAAACTTTAAGCATAATATTTGGGTCTTATTAGCACTTATTTTGTGCTTAATACTGTGCCAAGAGCAGTGAGGAATTATGAAAGGTACAAGGCAAACTCTATCTGCATAGAGAATATGATGTATTTCGGGGGAAAGATGAGTGTCTGGAAACAATAGCAAATGCCTCAAGAAGGTATGTCACTGAAAGTCAGATTGTTTGGTTCACAGTCGATACTGTATGACATTTGGAAGGGAAGGCATTAAAGGATACTTTGATTATTAAATAAGAACTCTTAGAGAGAAGAGAGATTTCTGGTGGTCATTATAAGATTAATATGGGTTAAACAGTCTGAAATACATAAAAATTTGGGTGGGTAGAACAACCAGTAAAGAAATGCTAATGCCAGCAATGAGATTTAAGTGTCTTTGAGCCAGTAAGGAGAAAAAACTGACTAGAAGAGAGACATATTTTGGGAATAGCTAGGAATGAAGTTTAAACAGTTAAGCATCAGAAGATTTCAGGAGGGGAAATGAGAGACAGTTGAAAGAGCTTAAACTTGGTAAGTAAAGTTTTTGAACACTGAAAATACATGATCACATATCTGCAGAGATTGGAGTTTAGTAAATGTGATCTGCCTTATCGTCTTTTGAAAAAAAATAAGGTGATATCTTTTTTTTTCTTTTTACAATTACTCAAATATTAACTCGCCTTTTTATTAGCTCAGCCCAGTAAGGTTCACCTTGAGCTCTCCTCTGTTATTTCTTTGTTAAATTTTCAAGAAATCTTTGGCTTTCCAAAGATTTCTTGTATTAGTTTGATTTCTCTCCAAAACAGAGCCTGAAACTACTTTGGGTGAAGGTAGTTTACTAGGAAGTGATCTCAGGATGCAGGAATGAGAAAGTAGGTAAAGCAGGATGCCCACTGTCACCAGTTTTATTCGAAATAGTACTGGAAGTCCTAGCCAGGGAAATTTCAAGAGAAAGAAATAAAAGGCATCCAAATTGGAAAAGAGAAAGTCTGTTTGCTGATGCTATGTCTTATACTTAGAAAACCCTCAAGGCTCCTCCAAAAGACTCCTAGATTTGATAAGTGAATTTAGTAAAGTTTCAAGATACAAAATCAATGTACAAAATAAGTAACATTTCTATACACCAGTAACAACCAAGCTCCAAACCAAATTAAGAACTCAGTCCCATTCATAATAGCCACAAAAATACCTAGAAATACATTTAAACAAAAAGGTGAACTATTTCTATTAGGAAAACTAGAAAACGCTGATTAAAGAAATTGTGGATGACCCAAATAAATGAAAAAACATCTCATGATTATGAACTGAAAAAAGAAATATTATTAAAATGACCATATTGCCCAAAGCAATATGTAGATTCAATGCAATTCCTATCAAAATACCAATATTATGTTTTCACAAAATTAGGAAAAAACTCTAAAATTAATATGAAACAAAAAAAGAGCCTGAATAGCCAAAGCAATCCTGAGCAAAAAGAAAAACCTGGATGCATCACATCACCTGACTTCAAATGGTATTACAAGGCAACAGTACCAGTACAGCATGGTACTTGTATAAAAAATAGACACACAGATTAGTGGGACAGAATGCAGAACCCAGAAATAAAGCCATATACCTACAACCAACTGATCTTTGACAAAGTAGACAAAGGCATACACTGAGGAAAGGACACCCTATTCAATAAATAGTGCTGGGAAAATTAGATAGCTATACACAGAAGAATGAAACTGTTTGTCTCGCTATATACAAAAAGTAAGTCAAAATGGATTACAGACTTAAATATAAAACATGAAACCATAAAAATTCTGTAAGAAAACCTAGGAAAAATTCTTCTGGATATTGGCCTAGGCAAAGAATTTATGACTGAGTTCTCCAAATAAATGCAACAAAACCAAAAATAGACTAATGGGACTTAATTAAACTAAATAGCTTCTGCACCACAAAATATATAATCAACAGAGTAAACAGCCTACAGAATGGGAGAAAATATTTGCAAACCATGCATCCGACAAATGACTAATATCCAGAATTGACAAGGAACTCACACAACTCAACAAGCAAGAAACAAATAAGCCCATTTAAAAGTGTGCAAAGGACATGAACAGATAATTCTCAAAAGAAGACATACAAATGGTCAGCAAACATGAGAAAATGCTCAACATCACTAATCATCAGATAAATGCAAATTAAAGCCACAATGAGATACCATCTCACATCAGAATGGCCACTATTAAGAACTCAGAAAACAGCAGATGTTTGGTAAGCAGGCGGAAAAAAAGGGAACACTTATACACCGTTGGTGGGAATGTAAATCAGTACTACCTCTATGGAAAACAGTGTGAAGATTTCTCAAAGAACTAAAAATAGAATTACTCTTCAACTGAGCATCTCACTACTGCATATCTACCCCCCAAAAAGAAATTATTATATCAAAAACATACCTTCACTGGTATGTTTATCACAGCACTAGTCACAATAGAAAAGATATGGAATCAACCTAAGTGTCCATCAATGGATTATTAAATAAAGAAAATATCACACACACACACACACACACACACACACACACACACACACACCCCATGGAATACTACCCAGTCATAAAAAGAATAAAATCATGTCTTTTATAGCAACATGAGGACATTAGTAACTCAGAACTGGAGGCCATTATCTTAAGTAACTCAGAAACAGAAATTCAAATACTACATATTCTTACTTACAAATGGAAGCTAAGTAATGCATAGACATGGACAAAGAAAATACACAATGGAGAATGGAAAAGGTGGGAGTGTGGGAAGGGAATGAGGAATGAGAAACTGAATTAGTACAATGTACACTATTCAGGTGATGGTTACATTGAAAGCCCATACATCACCACTATACAATATATCCATGCATGAAAAGTGGCACTTGTACTCCCTTGATCTATAAAAATAAATTATAAAAGAAGAGAGTGGGTTGAGCAATACTTGACTTGAGTGTGACTTGTTTCTGGTAGGATCTCCTAAGAAGTATATAGGTTGCCTCTCAGAATTGTCTACTTAAAGGACACAAAGCTAGTGCATTTATCTCCTGGCTCTTTTTCCCCATTGGTTGGTGTTTGCCAATGAGGTAGTAATTTCCCTGTAATTTCAGGCTGTGATTGCCCTTAAATTAAGGGATCTCTTGAGATATTAGAGAAGGCCCTGGGGTAGAAATCAAAACAAAACAAAACGCAGAATGTGCTTAATGTTGGATGTTACCAGCATGAGGTGAGTGTGATTATCTACCACAACTCTAGCTAAAATCAGAGAGGCACTTGGAAGGGACAACAAGGCACATATGAGATCAGTTACAGTCCTTTCTTTGCACTACTCAGATGCATGCTTGCCCTATATTATTTCCACTGTGTCACTGTGTCTTGAAGGTTGTTTCTGGCTGCAATTTCTTCAATGCATTTAATACAGGAAGGTTGCATGACATGAGCTTCTGTTCTGTAAAACTTCATTGCTGAAGAGTCTCAGTTCTTGGTCACATTGCCCTTTTCAGACCTTGTTGCTGCAAGAACTGCTGCTTGCTGTTTGTATTGGGCATGGAGACACCAATGTAAAATACTCACATTATAGCCACAATCCTCCTCAACCTCCTGTGTCACAGCAACCTGGTGCTTCGTGATAATCAGGGTCAATTACCCCTTCCAGTCTAATAGCTCCTCTCTTTGCCTGCTGGGCTATTGGCACAGGGAGTTCGGAGTGACCTAAAAGCGGCAGCCGTAGCTGCAGGTTACTGAATCCCTGGAGGGAGCATCGTTTCTTGGGAACTAGGACCTCTAATCTAGCAGAACTTAAGGCTGTGGGAAAGAGAAACACAAATTTGGAGCTATAGGGAGTGATATGAGAGGACTCTATTCTATGTCTATGACTTAGTTTCTAAACTTTTGCGACAACACCATGTATCAGCCAACACCACGTATCAGGCATAGCATTCCAACCACTCAGGTGTTGCCCATGAGCTGGCCCTTCAGTGGAGCCTTTCAAAGCCTTTTCATCGTTCTTCTGGGTTCTACTGCAGTGGACTTAGGTCATCTCTTAAGTCTGCGGTGGGCCCAGTGGGTCCCCATTCTGGTTATGCCACCATTGTCACACCTGTTGTGTTCTAAAATGGGTACCTTGTTCTGAGGAGATGCAGTTTTGGACTAGATAGACAAAAGAACAAGCAACAGTTAACAAATGGAAAAGGTTTAACATTCCTGAAGGTAATAGTGCCCAGGCAAATTATAAAAATTTTCTGGACAGAGAAAATGCTTACGAAGTCTAACCTGTAATAAGTACCTTAGTGAAGGCACTTTGTAAAACTGGAAAGCACTAAACATGTCATTATCTTTACTGTTACTTTAGGGATTGAAGTTGCAGACATCCATCTCTTTGAGTTTCTTATAGGAGAAGAAAGAGAAGAAGCCTTTATTTCCAAGAGAAGTCATTGATTTTCTATACCTATTATCCCACCACTTCCCTTGCACCCTATGACATTTGCACAGACTCTGAGTTCTGAGGTTTCTGTAAGCCTCTCCCTGTTGCTTGTCTCACTGTGTGCTCCTGTAAGCACAGAAATACATGGCAGTGTCCCCCAGCTGTACGTCTGAGATCTTGAGACTGAAGAATTTGGCTGCTTTCTGGAAGTTCACAGAGAAACGATTCTCCGTTGCATTCTGTGGCTTAAAAGCTTCTTGGCGAATAATGAGAATCATCTGCCTCCTGGGAGGCTGCTTGTACCAGAACAAATAATAATTACTTTCACTGGTGTCATATGTGCAGTTCAGGGTCACGGTTTCTGCCTCCTGCACAGACATCTCTGGTTGAGACTGAGTGACTGTCTGGGCCATGCTGGATTCTGTGGGAAAGAGGAGAGAAAGGACTTCACTGGGATATCATGTCAGAGAGAGAAACAGACTCACAAGCTGATTCCCATGCCCACCCACCTTTCTTTGTGATTCCAGCCTCAGGTAACATATTTCTCCCTCCAGGGACCTGGGCTCTAAGAGGCAATGCAGTTGCTGTTCTGTTAATCCCTCTTGCTTCCCAGCCCCATTCGATGCCTTTGTAAAGAAAGACCTACATCTTCCTTACCAAGACAGGTGGAGACCACGACTGTCCACAGCAAGCTAACACGTGTCATGCTGACAGCGCTCCTCTGCAGAGTGAAAAGTCTCCTGTTCTGATCTGGGTTCCTCTGTGCTTGGTGAGAATTCTCCTTCAAAGCAGGAAATGCTATGATAGGTGGGTGGGTGACTAGGTTTCAAGGAGGGAGGTGTTTCCAAATACTTTTTTCTCAGAAAATAGGCCTCTGGTTATAATTTCACATGAAAATAAAAAATGTTTCTGGAGTGATTTTAGTGAGCCTAGAAGTAAATAAAGAGGAAATGGAGCTGACAAATTTGTTTTTGATAAGACCTAATCTTGGAGGGGAGAACCTGACCCAGAATGGTGGGCAGAAGCCTCTGACTCCATACAAATAGCCACGACAAACGGCAAACCCTGTGATTTTATTTTTCTTCTTATTTTAAAAAAATAAAAATTACAAAGCAAATCTTACGAAATAAAAGCACTTAATTTTAAGGTGATAAGAATATACCTGTTTATATTCAAATTTAACATTTTTATAATTTCCCAAAGAATGAGAAAAAAGATATGCTTGTAACTGAAAAGAGCATTGACTAAATTCAGAGATAAATAAAAGCAGAATATGTAGTGTCTAATTGTGCTCACATTTTACATGGATTAAAAAAATAACCTTGTTGGTCAGGCACAGTGGCTCACGCCTATAATCCCAGCACTTTAGGAGGCTGAGGCAGGCAGATCACTTTAAGTCAGAAGATCAAGATCATCCTGGCCAACATAGTGAAACTTCATCTCTATTAAAAATACAAAAATTAGCTAGGCATGGCAGTCTGTGTCTGTAATCCCAGCTACTTGGGAGGCTGAGGCAGGAGAATCGCTTGAACCCAGGAGGCAGAGGTTGCAGTGAGCTGAAATCGTGCCACTGCACTCCAGCCTGGGTGACAAGAGCGAAACTCCATCTCAAAAAACAAGCAAGCAACAACAACAAACCCCACCTTGTTTATGCTGTATCAAGAAGCTCTGAAATAACTTTTGCAGAAGTTCTCATCAGTACTAAATTGCCTTAGTTTAATTTATATTTGTATGAAGAATTGCTCTCATCATTTTCATTCCATTTAAAAAAATATTGTGAAAAAAGAACATTTTAAAAACGTTACTCTGATTCTTCAGAATTTTGCATTTCCAGAGGGAGTGTCAGGGATCCTTATGTGATTCCTGAGTTGTGGTCCCTAAACTGGGCATACGAATGGGGCCCTGTTATGTATTGGGTGCTGTCTGAGGAGCATGTGTTCTCTGTAACAGAGGTAGGTGGCTGAGTGTCCCCAGTCAGAGAGATGCTCAAGGAGTTACAGGCACTGGGACCTGTCCTGAATGAGGCTGCTAAAATCCCTTGTGCTGCAAAGCTCAGCTTAATAGCAATAAGAGAAGGGACACAAACATTTCTTCTAGATAATCTTCACCCTTGTCCCATGGTTTGAATTCCTGTATCTTGATTTTGGATCCCTAAAAGTCAACTTCAACACAATAATTTGTGTGTGAATAGTTTATTGCAGGTGATTCTAGGAAACTGTAGACCAAAATTAAAATTCTAAGGCCTTCCAGGTCCCCGAAACCATCTGAGTGGACTTCTTTCTTGACCAGGGCTCTCTTCAAATTTAACTTGAAGGGTTGGTTCAGGCCATATGGGAAGTAGGAGTCAGACATGCTTCATTATACCTCTTAGGCATTAACATCAATGCAGACTTTAAGTCTGACAAGAAGCATTTACAATTAATTCTCTCTGAAACCTGCTACTTGGAGACTTCATCTGTCTGATAAAACTTTGATCTCTACAACCTCTTATCACAATCCAGACGTTTCCTTTCTATTAATCCCAGGTCTTTAGATAAACTCAGCCAATTGTCAACTGGAAAATTTTTAAATCTACCTATAAACTGGAAGCTCCCCACTCCCACAGACCCCCCTACCCATTGCTTCAAGTAGTCCCACCTTTCTGGACCACTGTATTTCTTAAATGTGTTTGACTGAAGTCCCATATCTCCCTAAAATGTATAAGCCAAGCTGTACACTGACCACCTTGGCACATGTTAAGGTCTCGGGACCTCCTTAGGGCTGTATCACAGGCTGTGGTCACTCATATTTGGCTCAAAATCAATCTCTTTAACTATTTTACAGAGTTTGACTCTTTCTGTTGGCAAAACATGGGTAGGAGGTAAATCAGGGAAGGAGGGAAGCCAACACAGATGTGCCTAGGCAGTTACCCCTATGGGCAATTGCAGCTTACTGCAGCTGCATAATGTTAGGGGTAGGAGGTTCTGAGTTACTGGTGGCGAATCCATACAGGTCTGCAGCAACCCCAATTCTTGCCTTGTCAGAAGAAAGAATTTGACTGAGGGACATAAGGCAGAAAGAGAAACCAAGGCAAGTTTCAGAACAGGAGTGGAAGTTTATTAAAAAGCTTTACAGCAGGAAAGAAAGGAAAGTACACTTGGAAGAGACCCAAGCAGGCAACTTGAAGGACAAGTGTAGCCTTTAACCTTGATCCTAAGATGTTATATACTGACCCACCTCCAGCATCTTGCACTGCTTTCCCATGATTCTGCCCTTAGGGTGGGCTGCCTGCATGTGCAGTGCCCTCCTTACACTTGGGAAGTGGGCATGAATGGTGTGTTTAGGAAGTTGTATGCATGCCCATCTGAGGCTTTCTTCCTTTTTCTGCTGGAATGCCCCCAGAAGGTCATACTCCACTGTTTTGTCTCTTAATGTGCATGCTGGGCTCACTTGCCCAATTCCTGAGATTTTATTGGAAGCAGATTACCGATCTCAAGTGTCTATCTGTTGGGGAAGTTGCCAATAATAGTTTGCTGCCAATTATCATTTTTAGAGAGGCAATATGATAACTGCCAACCCATCACCTAATGATTCCTGGTGGGCGGAGGGGAGAGCCCTCTTGTGCCCCATTCCTGCCTGTCTAACTACCTGACACAATAACTCTGAGAAACAGCATAGCATACTCTTTGGAGCTTTGCCAAATGAGTCATGAAGAAACTGGAGTAATCATGCCTAAACTCACTGTCTATCACTGATTAAGAACTGCTCTTGGGGCACTAACTCTTTTGCATTTCTGGCTTATCCTCCACACCGTCCACATTCATGGCCAGAAAGTCAAAGTTGTCTTCAGGGTTGCTGGAATTTTCAGTGAGTGGTGTTCAGTGTGTTGGCGCGACTGCCTAGGAGATATGGGTAGGGCACCAACAGTATCTATACAGTTCACTCCTTGCCTTGCTCAGATCCACTTGTGCTCTGTGTTAAGTCCACACATATTACTGTTTTGTTTTTTTTTTTTTGACAACAAGAGGGTTACTGGGACAAGTTACGATTGCTATAGTGGGTTCCATGACTGCAATTCATATTTATTGTCTTCTCCATCTACCTTCGACTCTACTTATTCTTGATTCTCACCACCTTTGGCTAACATTTTTTTTCTAATACTCTAGATTTCTTTTCCAGGGAGATAATCTAGACCTTCATTACTGAGGAGTATAAGCCCCTGGTTAGTCTGCTCTTGTCAGGCTATAATTGTTACAGTTGCCTATTTACAATAATCACTGACATGAGAATGTTAAAAGTCATCCCAGTGAATTCCCTGAGTTGTAGACATGTTTCCCCAGCTCCTTTGTGGGGTTGTGCTTCATGATAATCAGGATCAGTTGTCCCTGCCAGAGTAGTAACTCCTTTCTTGGCCCTCAGGACTGGCATGAAGATCCCCAAATTATGAGGTAGTATATGTTACCTTGGGTTTGGCAAAAACCTTTCTGTTTCCCTAGCAGAAGCAGCATCCTCCCTTTTCCCCCTCAAAGGGAAACAGATTCACTAGTCCAGCAGAACCTATAGTTATAAGAATAGGAAACACAAAAGTGGGTTACTAAAAGTGGTGGTTGATGGGGTGATAGTTCTACTTCCACCCCTTGGCGCCCAGGTCCATGTATTTTATATAACAAGGACACAACACTATCTTATAGAATAGCTTTTCAACCCCTCAGAGTGCTACGCCTAAGTTGGTGCTGTAGCTGGGCCCTTAAGTGTTCATTCCAGAGTTCTAACAGGCTAGTGGTTCATGGCTAATGCTATATGGTGCAGCTCTATGCTATATGATATGCCCATTGTCACAAACCCACAAACCCTTGATATAAAGTGGGTCTGTTGATGCAAGAGATGTGAAATCTCCTGATGATCAGAATAACCAATCTGGGCCCTTAAGTGTTCATTCCAAAGTTCTATCAGGCTAGTGGTTCATGGCTAATGCTATATGATGCAGCTCTATGCTATGTGACATGCCCATTGTCACAAACCCTTGTTATAAAGTGGGTCTGTTGATGCAAGAGATGTGAAATCTCTTGATGATCAGAATAACCAATCAGATACTCTGAGCCCTCAGTTCATGTAACTATTTGTAGCACTTTGGAGGAGACCACAAATTCACACCCAGAATATATATTTATAAGAAAAAAATTCCTGATACCTCCAGAGTGGAAGTGGTCCAATGTAATCAACTTGCCAACTAGTGTATGGTTGTTTCCTTTGAGGGATGATTCCACATTGAAGGCTCAGTGTTGTATCTACTGCTGTCAAGGTGGACATTTGGCAGTGAGACAGCCAGGTGGGAGGGGGTCCCTGGAGAAACTCCAAGCGGCCTGTGGACTAGGGTAGAGCCACAGACGTTTGCACTCTTTGCAGTGGGGAGGAGCCAGGCTCTTCTTCTTCCTGTGTATAACTTGGGATTCGAACTGCTGGCTGGGAAGTTTTCTAGTGGGGACCCTGGACTTGCGAGAGTCCTTGTTTCCCCCTTTTCTTCCTTTTTACCCAATAAAACCCTATCTTACTCACCATACAAATTGTCTGAGCTTGAATTTTCATGATCATGGGACAAAGAACCTCATCTTTAAACTAAGGAAAAGTCCTGCCGCAGCAGTAGAAGCAGTTAAATCTGTCTTGGTGGGAGAAAACCCAGGCTTCTGGGCTTATAAAGAAACTCAATTCTGTCACCTCAGCTAATCGGTTCATGGGTCTATTGTTTAAGAAATTGACAAGGACAGACATCCTCTGGCTGGCCAACATTCTCTGGATGGACCATC